TAATTTGCAGTTGCTGGTTGGTTGTTATGTCAATTATGTTGTCCAGTTAGTTCGGAAAGAATGGAATGAATGCTGTTTTTTAAGGCATTTACAAGGAAAGCATTTAATTATGTAGGAAAGGCCCCTGGCCGCAGCTCCGTAAATGGCGTGGGTGTGTACTCCCTGCAGGACTTCTGGGCGTCGTTAGGCAGCTCCCACGGTGGCGGCTGTCCACCCACTTACTTACTGAGCATTTCTGAGCGGGGTCAGCTGTGGGACAGGAGCTGGGGGGGACTGTGGTCCGTCCCTCCCCCGGGTCACCTGCGCAGGGCACCCAGGCGTAAAGCCCGGGGCAGGTCAGTCAGGCTGGGGTCAGTGAGGGGGCGTGTCCCCAGGAGAGGCATCCTGGAGCTTTTCCAGCACGTTGATGGTCCGTCCCTCCCCCTTGGCCTCAGGGTGACCACAGGACTTCTCTAGTCCCTGACATCAGTCCCCAGGGAGCTCGTGTCAGCAGCGAGCTCTAAACATCTTGCCTGGTAGCCCTGACTTGAGGGAATGCTGGTGGGGTGGCAGGAGTCCCAGAAGGCGGGATGTGCCACCATGGGCTTTGGGCGAGGCCAGGACACACCCAGTGGCTCATTCAGCCTGTTGCTTGAGCGCCGCCTATGTGCAGGGTACGGTGACCACAGCGGGCGGCGCCCCCGGGCATCCAGAGTCTCTGCACTGTGACATACTTAGTGTGCGTCCCGGGGGCCGTCATAGGAGAGGCCACAGAGGCTGCCTGGTGGGCTTCACCAGCTGCCGTGGAAACAGAAGAGCTTGGCTTGCACTCAGGGGGCCTCTTAGGGAAGGGAGGGTCCTGTGGTTGGCCTCTGTTTGCCCTGTGCCCAGGCCAGCGTCCCTTTAAGGAAGTGTTAAGGCAAACGAGAGACCTCCATCTCCTCTCCATCGCCAGCCTCAGAAGCTCCAGTTTCACATGATCCCCGCCTAATCCTCTTTCGTGATGCGAGACCCTATCAGCGTGATTCTCGCTTTCATCAGGAGCGGGAGCCTGTGGGAAGGGGTTTGTGGGAGCCCAGGCCCTCCCCGGTGGGAACAGCGTTAAGTCGGCTCACATCCCAGAAGGAGCCCGACTGCCGACTCTCACGGTCTGGCCGGAGACCACGCTCTCAGAGGGCTGGCACACACTTGGCCCGTCTGTCACCCCCAAGCAGCTGTTCATGCCGCCGCGGTTGTGGGGCTTGGGGCCTTTGGGGTTTGTGTATGGAGCTTAAGCCCCTTTATCTTCATGTTTGGGAATACCTTTGGAGCCGAGGGTTCCTACCCCACAGCTTTTGATCAACATTTCCAATTTTTCCCCTCAAAATCTTTTCTGTTCAGCAATCAAATGCAAGACAGTTTCGACAAGATCAGAAAATAGATGTAATAGACAGTGAAAAAAATATATCCTTTCAGTTGAGGTGTGGGGTGACCTTACTCTGGGCAGGATGATAATTCAGGAGCTGTTCTGACTCACAGTATGTGCTTTTAGGAGCGATCTAGAAAAGGTTCACAAAGAGGATTCAGCACTATGTAAAAAGAATGCCTGCAGCCAGGTGTGCTTTATCTAAATTAGGAAATGGACAAAAGATATGAAAAGGCATCTCACTGCCGAGGACGGACACACGGCACACAGCCCGTGGGGAGAGGCCTGACATCGTGAGCCATCGGGGAAACGCGGATTAAACCACGGTGCGATCGGTTCACTCCCATCAGAAAGGCTGAAGTCGACACGTGACAGCCCGGGTGCTGGAGGGGGGCGGGGAGGCTGGGTCCCCAACACACCGCCACGCCGCAGGGGAGCAGACCGTGCGGCCGCTCGGACAACCAGGGTGACAGCTCCCTAACAGATTAAACCTGCACCTGCCATGTGACCCGGCCGTCCCACCTCTGGGCGTTTGTCCCGCAGAAATGAAGACTGTGCTCGCGCAGAAGCCTGCATGTGACCGTCTGCACTTGACAGTGGTGAGACTGAAGTCAGTGGTGCTTCATAGCGAGCAGTGACTTCCGGCCGCCGTGCAGACTCCTGAAGCAGGCAAAACAAACGGGTTTGTCTGCACAATGGAATAGTTTTCAGCCAAAAAAGGAACAAACTCGTTAAACACGATAGCCTGGACGAACCTCCAGAGAACTGTGGAGTGAGGAAAAAGGCCAGTCCCAAAAGGCTCCGCACTGTGCGATTCTGTTTATACAGCATTCTCGAAGACAGAATCACAGCACTGGGATACAGGGCAGCGGCTGCCAGTCAAGGAGGGGTGGGCGTGGCCGTAGGGGCCCCGAGGGTCCTTGTGTCCCTGGGCTCGGTGGTGGGGCTGCTGTGGTTTTTCAAGATAACACCATCAGAGAAACCACGTGAAGGTACACGGGGGTCTCTGTTGAGTTCTTACTTCTACGTGTGACTCCACTGTTTCCTCAAAAAAGAAGAAGTATAATTCAAAAACCCAGCAACAAAAAAGGCATGGCCGTGCCAGAGCTCTTAGCACGGCCACACAGAGCGGGTCACCGCCACGTGCGGGGCTGTGCGGGCCGGCGGTGTGGCCGCCAGGGTGTCCTAACCAGGAGACCTCTTGGGGCTGGAGGTCTTAGCGCTCTGGCTTGCCTCACTGATGGAGACAGCACAGTCACGGAGGGGGTGTTGGCATCACCCCACGGCCGGCTGGCCTGTGAGAACCTACAGGGCCCCCTGCAAGGGGCAGACACCCCCCAGCTGCCCGTCTCCAGCCAGAAAGGGGAGAAAGGCGAGTTCTCTGCTTTGGCAGCCGGAGGCTGCAGGTGTCAAGCATCAGGAACCCCGATAGCTGCCACAGGGACCAGCCCCTTCTACACCTGCCTCTGACTGCCCGAAGGACTGAACATTTACCTCTGAGCGTTAGAGGCATCTGGACGGACTGCAGCAGATGCT